CTTATCCATGAAATAAAACAGCGGCTCACATCCAAATACATCCGATAAATGCATAATAAGCGCTCCATCTTCATCATCTGAAAAATGGCATAATATATAAAGAGCTTGCTCTACACTCTGTATGTAATTGGCTTTTAAGGAAGGGATACAAAACAAGCATTTAGATGGCAGAAGTTCTTTATTGTACCAAGTTGAATCGGCTGATTGTACTACAAATAGATAGTAACAGCATTTGAACTTAAGGCTGAGACGCTTGTGACCGAATTGCATTCTGTACATTCCATTCATTCTTATTAGTGGAAGTCCAAATGAATGCTGGCTACATACATGCAACGCATGCATAAAAAGAAACTGGAGATTAGGATTGTGGGCTCCTCTTGTTGCCCGCAAATAAAAAAGGCATGCACAGAAAATTATTAAGCTACCTGGAATATCACATTGGTCTTTGTCTGGAACTTTCATGTGAACCATCCTGTATACATTTCTTGTGAGGCTTTCCTTGCAGTCTTTCCAGTTTTCCTTCATATCTGTCAACCTACACTTGGTCCTCAGCTCCATCTCGACCATTAACTGGAAGATTACATGCATACATACATATAAGAGTACATTCACATAATAATATGCATGTACAGGGTGTATATACAACTTATAAGGGTCAAACCAACCCTGGCTGTTTAAGTGTTTGTCATCCCACATGGAAGGCTATTGGATTTTAATGAGCCAGTGTATGTAGTTGAACCAAAAGTATTTCTTATGGTTAATCTTATACTAAAAGGCACTTAAGCTCACGGCTTTGCTTGCGTGTATTCAAAGACCATCCGAAATAACTAGTCCTATTATTAGTAAAACTGCATGTGTATATTACTTACATTTTTTGGTTTTTTCGTTTAAATCATTTAATGATACTTTAACTTACTGCCTTCTCATTTCCCAGAAATGGGTACTGCTCCATTACCACTTTGGTGACATCTTTTTCTTCAATCTTATCAATAGCTGAACATCGGCTTGTCCCCCTTTTGATCTCGGCCTCAAGTTGTTGATACATCTTTTCTTCTTCTTTTTCATCTGGTTGGACCAGGCTGGCCAATGGTTTTTTTTGTTTGTTTGTGTTGAAATAATACTTTGAATTGTATAGCCGTCTCTTCATGCTATACAAGACATTGGCCTATAAATTTGAAATAATAAGCCATAAAGAGCATTGATTAGCACTTGCATTCTTCTTGTAAAACTTAAAGCTGGTGAGATAATGAGACTAAACATACAAACTAATCTTGTCCATGAATTGTGCTTCACTTTTCAAAAACATACAAACTCTGAAGTTCAAAAGCTGCCTTCACAATTGCATTTTTCGTTGCTTTCAATCATAGAAATTATAACAAGCACAAGCAACAAAAATTGAAACACCAAAACACGAAAAAAATTGAAATCCACCTGTCACATTAATCACAAACCATGACCATTTGAACTGCATGATTAAAGTAAAGTTATGTTTCCTTAAAGGTCCACTAAGGTGACTGAGGGCAACGAAAACTGCAGACAGAATTTGCATGTTTTTGGAAAGAGCAGTAAATTTCTAAGTTCAAACCGAAATCTGTTATTGTAGAACTATTTTTCTTGATGACTGCTTAAGGCTGGTTTTCACTAGCGACGGAGTCGGAGTCATAAGTGGAGTTGTAAGTCGAGTGCTTATGACCTAGTGAAAATCAAAAATTGGAGTTGTAAGTGGAGTCATAAGCGCGACGGAATCAGGGTTAGAAGAATCAAAACATTTCCATTTCCTCTGACTCTGTCGTTTACGTTCCGCTTATGAACTAGTGAAAACCAGATTGTCAGAGTCAGAAGCGGAAGCGGAAGGATAAGCCTATCGCAATGCACGTTCCCATGCTTTGTGATTGGTTTTGTTCCTCTGCTTCTGCTTCTAACTCTGACAGTCTGGTTTTCACTAGTTCTTAAGAAGGAACATAAGCGACGGAGTTGTAAGCGGAATTGGAACGCTGTTTTCACTAGATCATAAGCTCTACGTCTTCGCCTACAACTCTGACTCCGACTCTGTCACTAGTGAAAACCAGCCTTTAGTGCTTGAGCACTGACAGGAGTTATATCTTTTCATCCTGTTATTGAAATTTTATGTAATACTGTACAACAATATCTATCAGAATAATCGGGCAGCTTTAATGGCTGCTAAAGTAAATGCTCCCTTTCATTACTGATAAGAAATTGACAAAAGGATCAATGAAGTAGTCTATCCAAAGCCACTTTATCATTCCAGGGCCAGTGGCTCAAAGGTCCCATTACAGTAAGGTATCCAAAAGACTTCAGTGAAAATGTCAGTGGAGGAAACAAAAGCACATACATGTAATCATTCTTTAGATTTGCCTCATTTCCATTGCAAAATATTTATGTTATACTCTGTCAATTCCTTTGAAGGTGCATCATTTACACATAAGAATCACACGTCCCAAGACTTTATGAAAACAAGTACTGTATGTGGCCTGCTAGTGAATGTAGGTTAATAAGTCAATAAAATGTCAATACTTAACCCAATAAGGAAACATCTTGTCCTTGGGGAAACCAGGTGGCTTAGGATCTTGTAGGATTGGAACACGAGTGCATATCACCTGGGCCCCCATTCGCAGTGTTTCTGTCCCTAGAGTGATGCCTTCTTGGGCTTGCAAGCACGCTACGCATTCCCGGATAAACTTGTTTACTTCTGCAGGAGCTGGCCTTCTTCCAGATGAGAACTCCTGTGGTATCGGAAACCTGAACTTTTTTGAGAACTTTTCAATCCGGGTAAGCTCTGTTTCCTTCAGTATAGAGCAACTTTCTTCTGTCTGTTGAGAAAGACAGCCACAGTATTCAACAGTTTTTATTTATTTATTTATTCATTCCCATGAAGACAGATCTAGGTTAAGTAGACTTGTCTTCAATGTCACATCATCTGTTGGGATAAAAGCCAAGTTTGGCATCTTCGTGAGAGACTAGCCTGTATCTCATTTCATAGAGCATACATGTAGATAGGCACACTATGGTTCGCCTACTTCCAGTGTCCTCCATTTCAGGGTTGAAAGCATTTCAGTCACACTATCTAAAATCTTATATACAGCAGTAAATAGAAATAAATTATACTTTTACCTCTTCTTCACTGGATGTATTCAGCTGTGCAACCTGAAAAAAAAATGGAAAATTATAAACACAATACATAAAACACATATTGTAATATAAGTAGACTAATGGAACTGAGTGGTCTTGAATATTTGTTGTGAGTTAGAGTTTCATGCTTCTTGCAAAGCAATCATCCTACATGAAACTCTGAGTAGTAATAATGTTCAAGGCCATTAATTCAGTCTAGCTCCTTGTATTCTGTTATATTTTAACTATTGAGCATTCAGATTATAGTTGACGAGGACATAACTTTGGCACTTTATTTTAATAGAATTATGTATATGTAAATATCTTGTGATTCAATTTGTTTCCTTGGTTTAAATTTTATTTCCTTAGTATTCAAATATGGTAATGTATGATGATAAGTTGACAATCAAGACAATGAAAAATTCCAACAGGCAAATGCGACAGCCATATGTATATTTTTAGTTGTCTAGCCTTTTTAGCCTTTTAACTTAGTTTATAACCACTAGCTTTTTAGATTTGATTGTTATTAGTAGTTTCAACATTACTTAATCTTAATCAGGGGTCCTCCCTGAAAACCACTTAATGTGATGGGAGCTTCCTCTGTAAAGATCATTTTATTATTATTATCATTATCATTATTATTATTATTATTATTATTATTATTATTATTATTATTATTATTGTTCCAAATGAACCCACTCAATTTAAACCAAGGGAAAAAAGTGAACCATAACAAACAGCTTATTGATCATAAAAACAGAGTACCAGTGTGTAATGTCCTCATTGACTTTAAGAAGAAAAATGAACACCGTGTACTCATCACGTTCATGCTTTAAGCCATGATTGATAGTATGTGCAGTCAGAAGTTAATGCAGAGATAAAATGTAATTATGTTGGTCATAGAGATACTGTTAATCGTATCTACTGAAAGTATTCTCTTGCTATCATTTAGCGATAAGTTCAGTTCTCATCTTGAGGAGAGTTACAATCTCTCTCTCTCTCTCTCTCTCTCTTTCAAAATTTCTATAACTCATGTGATTGAAATTTTACGTACACTGGTAACTTCTAATGGAACAATCTGATGACCGCTTAGTAAGCCAAAACTCGAGTAACCATCTTCATTTTTCTATCCAAAATTTAATTCTGTTGTGCCTGTATATTTGCATTGACAGCTATGCCATCTGGTGTGGTACCTCGATCTCAGGATCAAAAGTTTCATCTGAGTCATCAGAATCAGATGCCTGTGGCAAAGATTCATTTTGAATGTCCCTGCATTTCTGTAACTGCAGTTCAACCCATGACTCAAAATGAAATGAGTCATCATCACTGAAATCCTTCTGGGTCAGTTCTTCGAGGTTGGGATCAAAAGTTTCATCTGAGTCGTAATAGATCTCATCATCATCAGAATCAGAAGCTCGAGGCAAAGATTTCTGTAACTGATGTTCAACCTAAATTGAGTTGCAGGTAAATTTAAATTGGTTTCCTTTATATTTTTAGTGTTTAAACTTATATATGGTTTGCCTAGTCTAGTCTAAACTTTCCAACCAATTGATCAGTTTTCTGAATAAGGTTCCTAAATCCTATCCCAGGCTTACATTCTTAAAAATCATACCCTTCACAGCAGCACATACCTTTATTGCCAATACATGCCAGCCTCCTCCCCCGTGGGCAATATGTTAGTATCGATTAATTCATTGATTTATATATGTTCATTTCACTGTACTGATCGGCTCTTCATTGTACAGAATACAATAAAATTATTTGATGAAACAATTATGAAGTCCCTTAATGACACTATGCAATGATACAGGGTGTATGGTGTACATTGACTCTAACCCTTTCTCTTCTATAGCAAGTTCGTACTGTATATAATTTTCCACACTGATGGTTGTTTGACAAACGTTTTCAGACACACATAATTCCAATGTATTTTTCCCTTGGTTTTCAAAGAAATATTTTGAAGTTTTCCAAATAACATTTTGCTCTTTGATCACTTTTGCACGTAAGAAATTAATTCATAGGTTTAGTAGAATACACCCTGTTTGTTATTAGTTTTGTAAGTACCTTTTTTCAATCTTTTCAAGTGTCAGTTTTTTTAGTTGTTAACTTCATAAAGCTTTGTAAAACCCTTTTCAAAACCTTTTGGTTTTGTTTTTGACAAAAGTTCATTTGAATTCAATGTGTAACATGAATAAAATTTAAAATATGACTTTATGTGCTAGCTCATACCATTGTATGTCCTTTGGCATTCCTCTCATTTTCACCCGTCTCTCTGACTATTACACACTCATTCTGAAAATTTTAAAGTGACATTTAATTTTCCAAAAGCTGATTTATTAAATTCTTTCATTGATGTGGCCATATAAAATAGAGTAATTCACCATTTCAATGGTCATTCTAACATCTGAAGCAGGGGCGGATCCAGAAAATTCAGAAAGGGGTGACCAGGCCCGTTTTCCACTTGCCAGCTATATATAAATACTTTATATTTTTGCGAGAATTCTATAAAAATACTACAAAATTTCAAAGAAAAAGGGGTGGCCAGGGCCCCTTCTACCCACCCCCAAATCCGCCCTTGTGAAGTGCATGTAGTAAAGTATAAAATACCAGTAAATAGGCTCATACCTGTTCATTTTTCTTTGTCAACATTGTAGCTCCCTGCTTTTGATTTTGCGTCATCTGGATGGCTTGAATTGGTGCATCAGAAGTTGCCTGCAGTACATGTGATTTGACAATAATTTTTCATTCTGAACTGATGAGAGGAAATTTATGTGTGAACAAGGTGCAGTTTTCTTAGGTATCTGCTCTGTTAATATTTTTTGAGGATGCTATCTTATGTTACCAATCAGCAACAAAGCCCAAGGGTTATTTTTTTTTTACTTGACAGTTTTTGGTTTTCTCAAAATGTTTGGAAAAAAGTCATACCTTTGCCGGAGAAAAAGGATACCTTAAGTTTAAGAAAACTATATGGACCATTGATAAACATAAAACTACAGTGTATGATGGACAGGCCTGCACCAATGCTAAATAGCTGGTCATAAAAGATAGAGTATACCATTTCAATGGTAATTGTAATATCTGAAATGTAACTTTGTAGGAAAGTATAAAATGCCAGTAAATACATGTTAGCTCATACCTTCTCTTTTCTCTTTGTTAATGTTGTAGCCCCCTGCTTTTCACTTTGCGTCATCTGGATGGCTTGAATTGGTGTATCAGAAGTTGCCTGCAGTACATATGATTGACAAATATCATTCTAAACTGATGAGATGGAACATTTTTGTGGGCAAGGAGCCATTTTCTTAAGAACAGGACTTTCAATGATATGCGAGAATGTTACTATGAAAGCAATGGGCATTTCTATTTTTGTCCTTTGGTGGTTGAAGTATTATATACTTTTTTTGGAACTCGCTGCAAGCTTTCAACTACTAAAATTTTGAGAGAAGTACATGTACAGCTGTTACAGAATTTATAAAGAACATAGCTACACGTGCCTGGTGTAAATCCAATGGCAATGGTGTTGGCTGCAAGTCCCCTGTTTTCTGGCAAGTGAAAGAAGGAGAGGATCTTAACAAAACAGACAGCAGCAATGCATGACTGTGCTTGTAAGTAGGATGCTGAAAACTGTACACAGAATGCAAATTTAGAATAAAATGCACTAGTTAATATTTCTCCTACCAAGTCCTCCAAAAAATCAGAGACTTCTTTCCTCATCAGAAAATTGTCAGGGAACAGATCAAGTAGGTCTGATCTTCTCAGTTTCAGGAAGGTTTTGCCATTTATGTTGTTATCTGTTGGCATTAAAAAAAAATGATACAGATGAAAAAGACATAATTTCATTCAAATCTTATTACGTGCAGTCCATTAATGAAGAAAAATTGCAAAGAATAGTCCTTTTACAATAATGTCGCGTGACAGTCTAATGTTTCTAAGTTGTGTTAGATCATGATTCTGTAAATTCAAAATAAAACTTGTTCAGCAGACTTTTGATAAGCATCATTTATTTCTTAGGATTTTTCATGGTCATTTTATAATGTGCCTTTTTGTGTAAATAATGGAGTCATGCATGGTTTACATTATGGTATGACTCTTTCACCAATCTGTTACGAACATGCCTCTACCAACTTACTGAAACATATCCTAGCGTTGTACTTAAGGCTCCGCTGTGAGGAAAAATGTCTAAAAAAAGGAATGAAGACACCCACCCTTACCCACCCCTGATAAATGTTTTTGGCCTGTTTTCCCAACTGCTGAGCCTGCCACATTTAAAAACCAATAAACATTTTCCACCAAGTTCTTAAAGAATTCTAATGTTGTTGCTTTTCAAATTTGTTGTTGTTCAGAGATCTTATGTGAAACAGTATACTATGTAACCTGTCTTTAAATAAACTGGTATTCTGTTATAGAGCTTGCTACATTATATTCACCTTTTTCCCATTTAGACATTCTGTTGATCAAGATAAAGTGTCAGTGCCCCCCCCCTACCCCCTCCCATTCACCTTCCTCTGTGAATTCCTGTTTGCTCTGGGCAGAGAGTAAAAAAGTAGGGGACTGGGAACAGACATGCAAAATAACCATAGAAAAAAACTGAGTGTGACACCCGAAAGAGTATCCAAATGTTAGTAAGGTTACCAATGTCAGTGTTTTGGTGGCATTTGATATGGTTTGTAAACCACATAAGTCTATCTTAATCTGGCATCTAATGCCAACCTTGGAGTTACCTTTTTGCAATTATTATTTCTACACTGATTTTTTACTAATGCTTGGGTGCTCTTTGAGGAGTTAGGTTCAAATTTGAGGTGTTTGTACCCAGCTAGTCCACTGCTTGTCGCAAAAAAGGTTAAGATAGATAGATGAGAGACTTGTGCCCTTTTGCTAAGACTTCGCAGATTTTGGGGAGACTGGGAACTAGTTTTCGGGCCTGTCCGACAGCCGCAAGCGCTTGCACTTAAATTTAATCATTTCTCGTTTCTGGAAGACTGCCCACCTACCCCTCCCCTAAATCAATAATTTCCCCCTAAACCAATATTTTTCCCCAAGTCCTTTTTCTGACTATGTGAGTCCCGTGTTTTTAAGCGGAGCTCTCGCGCGGGAAGCGCGCCAGCGGCGCACCATGGGTAAGAAAATTTGGTAAACTATCCATCCGACAAAATTTGGCTTTCACGTAGCGTACGCCCGCCCGGCCACCCGTACACACTTCATGTAAGCCTTCAAGTTTCCCACTTGTCAGGAGTGAGAAATAAATAACAACTGAGACTAACTTCGTTGGAAGAAAAACATGAAAATTATATAGCGGCGGTTAGAAAACGAGAAATGCTAGCGGCAACTAATGTGAAAAAGGAGCGGCAGTGAAAAACAGAGTGAACAGGAACACAAACATTTTCTCCATAAAACGCGTAAATAGGAAGGTAAAAGAAGTTTCACGTTTAAACAACGGTAAGGAAATGTACAAAAAAAACTGCTGCACGTGCAGAGTTGTTTTTTTGCTAATTAGAAAAAAAAAGTGTGCTGCACGTGCAAAGTTGTTTTTTTTTTGCTAATTAGATCTATTGTTGTTGTTTTTACCGTTCTCGTTGCTTTCAACTTGTCTTTAGCATTACTCGATTTTATATTTTCTTTGAGGAATCTATAAATATTAAAGAGAGCTTCGCTTTTAGACCTGGCTAAATCTATATATTATCCCAGAATAAACAGACTCGTACCCAACCCTTCTCGGTTTATAGAGTGACAGCAGCGCAGCAGCGCTAGCAACGGTGAATGAAAAAATTCGGGTCATGGCGTCATGATCAATGAATTGAAAGCAAGCCTGTACGTACGTGAAAATTGACAATATTCATGGCTTAGATTCATGTTTAAAATTGGCCATTCGCCTTGTTACAAAGAATTTTATCTAGAGATAGACTCACAACTGACTCTATCGGAAATCTAAGGAAAATCCCTATATGAAAATTTGGAAAAGGCTGAATGGAAAGTTTTCAAACTGTGCGCGCGCAAAATATTTTTTCTGATGTTTTGGTCAAATAAGCTTTTCCACCTTGAAGAATCTTTTCTAAAATACAAGTCGGTAGTCGATATTGTTTTGTAGAAAGCCAATCCAAATCTGTATCAGATGCAAGTACGGACTAAATCAGTAAACAAGACTTTCCGCGCCTGAGCTTACCATAACACGTGTGCCATTTTTTGGCCTGCACAACTTTGCACCAGGGTGAAAACTTTCATTTGCAGAGAAACTCAATTACATTTTCTGGAGAAAAGTGTTGTCCACTAACCTCGCAGGGCGTCACAAACTTGAGGGGACAAACCATTTAGATTGAGCCAATCTTCTAGTTCCTCCACGCTGTATTTTGCGCACAACATTTTCAGTCCACAGTGCCTCAATGAACTAGGAACAATTCTGCCGCTTTGTCTTTTTCCCTGTCAGCGTTTTTTGATGGTGGCCACGTGGAAGACTGTGAATCTGATTGGCTCATCCCAGATGCGGGAAAATAACGCGTCAGAGAAAACTGCGCATAGGGGTAGTCTGATATTTTCTTGGTAAAAGTCCTTCGCTTTTCTCTCCCCTCTCTCCTTGCACACTTTTGACATCACTTCCATGAACAAAAAACATCGCGCATCGACCGTCGAGCCATTCAAAGACAACATGGCGTGGAAATGTGCACTGTGCTCTTTTACCGCGGTACTTCTTCTTACTCTAATCGGTCATTTGAAACAGCGTCATTCCGAGTTCAAAGGATCAATAAGATGTAGTTTAAATGGATGTGAAAAAGACTATAAAAGGGTCAGTTCTTTTGCTCAACATGCCCGTGAAAGGCATGCAGCGTTTCTTCAATGCTGTGGACCAACTGAGGCAGGTGGCGAACCAGTATTTTTAATTCCAGATGATGAACCAGGTACACTTAGATATTAATAGAGATTAAAAGTTTATCAATAGATCAAGCATCCTTTTTTCACCTAACCAAACGTTTCATTAAAAATCATCATTACATGAGATTACCGCGTGAATAGATCAATTCTGTCGAGTGTGTGCTCGATAGTCACCCGCGCGCGCGAGATCAAACGAGAAGACGCGCGAGGACAAAAGAGGAAACCCCGATCGTTTGTTTCCTCCTCGGTTCAGCTTTCGCGTGGCTCTATATCTCTTACTTTACGAAACGAACCGCAAATTAAAAACATAAAAAAACAGACTTGCCATATTCAGCCAAATTCAGTCAATACGAACAAAACGTCACTAATAGAGAGCAGCTTTAAAAATTCAAGAGAGGCGTATACATAAGTTAAAACTGGTAATTATAAAAGATGAAACGGATGAACTCCTAATTCCAAATAGCAAGAGACGAAATTCAGAGCAAGTGTGCTTAAAGAAGTAAGCGGACATTTTGAACACATTGTTGTTCCTTTCAATTCTGCACATTTTTACAAATCTTGCTTAGATTTTATTCGAACAAAAACATGACTCAATTGGTTTGGAGTCATTTTGGGTTGATGTTTAGAATGATTTAATGCATAGCAATTGAGGCGCGAGATGTTTGAAATCAGGGAAGACTCATTCTGATTCAGGGTTACCATCGTCTCAATGTCAATATAACATGTCCCAAAGACCTTGCTTTCAATTTACTGCACCTTCTCGCCGGGAATAGTCTATATTTTACTTTAGGTCGAGGCTAACCCTATACAAAGCAGCGGCACAGCGGCCAGGACGAATTCAAAATTAGATTATTGAGAAAACATGGATTTGGAAGTTTTTGAAATGAAATCAGTTATGAAGTGATTAATTAGCTCCTACTAATTCTTATATCACACGTAATCTTGGTCTTCTGTGAGGTCCCAAATAAAGTGCTTGCTCGCATGTCAGTTAGGACCGAAATTTGTTTAATGGCCTGCGGGACACTCGAGTGGCCTTGATAAACCTATTTTCCTGCCAAGGAGTTCGTCCTGGCGAAACTAGTTTACCCTTTCCTTAGTCTTTGCGCGAAGTCAAGATGGCTAAATAAACTAATTACCCTCTTGTAGTGGAGATTACTTTCCCGTTCATAGAGGGAATGGGAAATTGGCCAATACCCAGCCACTTTAACTTAAGAAAACAACAGGCTAAGCCCTCTCAAGGGCCTCGGTTTATTGAAAAAAATAATGTTGGAGGGCATGGCCTCTCTTACTGGTTCCATGCACCTTCGGCACCGCACTACTATTGGTCTCCAGTATTTTAAGCTATTCAAATCCTGATCGCCAGTGTACGTTGGACGATTCGTTGAAAACATTTCACTCGGCTCACATGGAAGCTCCCGTTGTCCATCGCACACTCAGAAGCAATTTTTGAAAGGAAAAAAGTTAATTCTCATTTTTTTGAGCCTGTATATAGCTGAAATGGTAGAGCTTTGGTATTTAAATGAAACCCGTCTTAAGCATTACTTTGTAGGGTATTATTAATTTTTCTCTACAGAATCAAATGTAGTTTTTTCTTTCAAATGTTCGCGTCAGAAGCGGAAGGGCTAATTAAGTCTTCCGTCTTGACATCTGGACTCCAGCTACCAGCACCTCAACTGAGTAAGACTGATGATTTCTATATAATTTCATTGGTAGATAACGTCAGTATAGACTCCGAAAGACAGGCAGCAGAGCAACATAGCTTGACTGAGGAATCTGTTCTTTCCGATTTCGAGGACAACGAGGAAACGTGGACGCCCCTTAGCCCTGCAGTTCAAACATGTAGTGATGGTCACAACACAGACCAAGTGGCGAAAAAGTACTTGATAAAAATCAGAGAAGAGAACAAACTTTCCCAAAGGTGCACGCGACAGATTGCTCATGTTACAGAATTATATATACGCGAGTCGTTACACTCTTTAAAGCGTAAAATTGATGAATGTCTCACTGAAGCAGGCCTCGACGTGAACGGTATTGAAGGTTACGAAGACTGCTTTGACAATGCCACACCAACGTTTGACACAATATCATCCGACATAACAGAGAGCCCAAAGGAAGGAAACAACAATCTCTCCTACGTGGTAAATATGCAGGTTTTCATTTTCATAAGCTGTTCATTACAATGCACAGCAAGTAAATATGCGGACAGTATTTTAAGAAGGTAGCACCACGAAGCTGACAATTAAGACTCAGTTAGATCACAGGTAGCCCAAGCTCGAAATATGAGCATCTGCGAGCATCGTTATTGTTGCGTAACATTCGAAATATAAGGATTTGTATGGAAAAAACCTATATCGTTCCTGTAACCTATGAAAATGAAAGAATGTCATGTAAACTTATTTCCCATGCAAATCTTTATATTTCGAATGTTACGCAACAATACCGATGCTTGCCAATGCTCATATTTCGAGCTTGGGCGACCTGTGGTTAGATTAGAAGAACGTGTCACGGAAAGGAGTTACAATAGCGAAACAAGTTAACAATATACCAGTAGTCAAATTGTCCTCTTGACTTCGTGAATTTTATCACGTGTAATTGCCTTAATACCGTATAAAACTCAGCGGGTTTGAATGACTTATAAAAACATACATTGCTGATAAGGAAGACCTTTTTTAAATAAAGAATAGTTCTAATAAACAAGAAATTTTATATAATGGTCCTGGTCCTCCTAATTTGCAAATAATTGAAATGTCGAGTCAAACTCCCAGCCACATTAACAAAAACGATTGAAATTATATGCCTACTTGCCGAAATTGAGACTACATATAATAGTAAAATGGAGTTAGTACATTTTTTTTCATTCTTCTCTCCAAGGAACCGAGGAAGATAGTTCTTGGACGAAAACGACTTAACAAAAAGGTGGGCAACAAGAGGAGAATTGTTCTCACGGAAGAGGAGTTCTATTATATTCCCCTCATCAAAACCTTGCAAGCTCAGCTATTGTCGAAAAACATAATCAATATGATTCTTGATGGCCCACAGTTGAGCCAAGTTGCTAACACGTTCGAAGATTTCCCAGACGGCAGTTTTGTTCAAGAACATGAACTTTTCTCCTGCGATGACAGCGCTTTGCGGCTGTTGTTCTATTATGATGATGTAAATATTAACAATCCCTTAACGAACAAATTACACAAGCTAAGCTTTTTTTATTACCAACTGGCTAATATAAAGCCCATCTACCGGTCCAAACTTAAATCAGTTCATTTGCTGGCAATCTGCAAAACTAGCTACATGAAGAAATATGGAATAAACGCCATCTTTTCACCAATCGTGGAAGATCTCAAAATACTTGCAAATGGACACCCATTCCAAATATACGGTGGGGTTCTTCGACTCAGAGGAAGTCTATTAGCCCTGCTGGCCGACATCCCAGCTTGTCAGTTGTGCGGTGGATTTAAAGAAGGCGTTGGTGGGGCTTTCCGAAAATGCCGCGTTTGTCATGCTACTTTTGAAAGGATACAAGAATTGTTTATAGAAGAGGATTTTAATTTGAGAACAAAAGAGGACCACGCGCTTCATGTTGAACTCGTTGAGAACGCTCCAACAAACTTTTTAAAGGAATTTTATTCCAAAAAATGTGGTGTAACCTTTCGAAGTAAACTCATGGAGGCACCGTTCTTTGACGTTACCCAGCAGCTCCCCATGGACATTATGCATGTTTTTTTAGAAGGTGTACTGGCGTACGAGATAAAGTATTTGTTGAGACATTGCATAGATGAGAGATATTTTTCCCTTGCGACGCTCAACAAAGACATTGAAAAATTCCCTCTAGGCTACGCCCATAAGAAAGACCGACCGATTGTTATTAAAGACACCGACCTACAGAGAGAAAGTGCTACCAACTTGGGACAAACGGCATCGAAAATGTGGCTACTCGCCTCTATTCTCCCGATGATCCTCGCGAAGTACGTGGACAAAAACAGCACCCCTTGGCAATGTTTATCATCCCTGCTTGAAATCATGGGAATGGCTTTTTCTGAAAAAATATCCACTGAAAGTGTTATGTACCTAAAGACGGCTATAAAGGAACATTTATCTTTGTTTAAGAATGAATACGGTGCAAGATTGATCCCAAAGCAGCACTACCTGGTCCACCTGCCCAGCCAGGTGCTCAAATTTGGCCCCCTGATCAGGACCTGGTGTATGCGCCACGAGGGAAACATTCTTTTTTTAAAGACCTCGCAAGCAACATTAAGAACTTTAAAAATCTTCCCTACTCCCTAGCCATGAAACATCAAAAGGTTGAGTGTGCCAATTCAATTGTGTTTGACGAATACACCGATACCAGTTTACTATTTGGCCGCGAGGAACACAATGGAAAGGTCAAGGTCCTTGTTGGCGCAGAGGCGACATCAGTTAAAGATTCTATCGAGCGATTTTATAACGTAGAATGGTCAGACGAAAACCACCTGTTCCAGACCAACGCTGTCACAATCACCGGGACACTCTACAAGCCTGGAAAAAACACTTTATTGCATATTTCTAACAATGAGGAGGGCCTGCCAGAATTCGGTCGCCTTATCAAAATTTGGCAAGTTTTAGACCTTGGCACATTTTTTGTTATGCAGCCGATGGAAACCGTGGCCTTTGACTTGGACATGAATGCTGTCATTATCGAGGAGTCAAGTCTGCCGCAAGGAAACCAAATCAGTCGTCACGAAGACCTTCCTTCATACCATGTCCACCACGCATACACCCTATCTGGAAAACTGCATGTCCCATTGAAACAATACATTTGTGACTCTAAGTAATGTCTTAACCGCCTATTTTTCTCAAATGAATACGAGATTGTCTGATGGGCCACTTTCACTAAGAGGTCGCGTAATCAATACTTCCTTTAAACAATGAGTTGGAATCTTGCTGATGCCAAAAATTGACATAGGACATAAAAGTTATCTTACACCCAAAATTTGAGAGGAAGCGCATTTAAGGGCGATATTTTATGGCACTTTGATTTTTCAACAAATTAATATGATTTGTATTGGCCGCCATGTTGGAGGGCATACTGTTGCCCTCTAACGTGGCGGGCAAAACTACTTTTTGCTTGTACCTTGTTAAACGTTTGATAGTTACGCACAGATGTGCTGTAAACGTTACCAAATCATTTTGTCAACACTTTCCTTGAAGTTTAAGTGCAAAATTTGTGTTCAGAAAGAGGTAATTCAGTCATAATTTTAAAAATCACATTTTGATCACGTGATCAGCTAGAGCTTACTCATTTTAAGAAAAAGGTGCGGGTTTCAAAACCAAATCACTATTATTTTTTTAAGATATGACCCACCATAGTTAGTAGAGGGGGACTAACTAACTATGGACCCACTAATCGTTTTTCGAAGGCAAAATCATATAACTTTCATTTTCATAAAAATGATGTCACATGACCTCTTAGTGCAAATGGCTTATTGTCATACGTTGTCTTGTTTTGGTCTCTTTTTACTGGCCTTGTTACTTATGTTAATGTATACAAACATGAACCCTTTTCTGGGGCGGATTCAAAAGTTTGTGGAGGGAGGTTCGGATAAACATCCACCTAAGGTGGCCCATCCTAGGGGGCCCGGGTCCGGAGGCATGCTCCCCGGAGAAAAAATTTAAAATTTGGGTCAACGGAGAGGTCATTTCANACTCATTTTAAGAAAAAGGTGCGGGTTTCAAAACCAAATCACTATTATTTTTTTAAGATATGACCCACCATAGTTAGTAGAGGGGGACTAACTAACTATGGACCCACTAATCGTTTTTCGAAGGCAAAATCATATAACTTTCATTTTCATAAAAATGATGTCACATGACCTCTTAGTGCAAATGGCTTATTGTCATACGTTGTCTTGTTTTGGTCTCTTTTTACTGGCCTTGTTACTTATGTTAATGTATACAAACATGAACCCTTTTCTGGGGCGGATTCAAAAGTTTGTGGAGGGAGGTTCGGATAAACATCCACCTAAGGTGGCCCATCCTAGGGGGCCCGGGTCCGGAGGCATGCTCCCCGGAGAAAAAATTTAAAATTTGGGTCAACGGAGAGGTCATTTCAAGCGTTTTGAAGGATAATTGTAGATTATCTGCCTTTGAAATTTCCTCTTTTTAGCTATTTTAAACGTGGACTTCTCTTGAGAAATTGCAATAATCGAGACTAATAACGAATATAAATCATCTGATGTAACGGTTGTATTTGCCATGATATGTGCTCTAGAAAATGGGCTTTGGTTTCTTCAAAAATGGGATCAACAGGACATTTAAAACCAGGAAAGGACTCTCCTCTGTCAATGTTTTTGTCTTTTCATCACAGTCATTTTTCAAAAGATAACATATAATTGTTAGCTAAGTATGTCCACCAAAGGTTTTGGGCAGAAACCGCTCGTGCTCAAACGTTCGTCATTTTGGTTTTGGGGTTCCAACAAACTAACAAACCACCCCTGGATCTGCCCCAGTTTTGGTGATGGGAGGTTACACATGTAAAATTCGATTAAGAATAAATATAACACGTCGAACTTCTCGCACACACAGTCTTACATGTTTGTCCACGGTAGAAACTGCTCATTTTCGACTATATTTAAACCCGGGGGGGGGCACTTCCCTATAAAATGGATTGGTACCGCTTAGGGTGCTTATACCTAAAATGACCGCTGCCAGATAATGATTTATGACAATACTTTCAAAGTCATTGAGAAGAAAGTGTTCGAAAGTCATCTTTATTACCATTAAAATTTGCAGTGCCAGTAATATAATTTGTTGTTGTTAAATTGGTGCCTCTTAGGGGTGGTAATGACTTTGGGTCACACCAATGAAAATAGATTCTGGTACTTTTTAGGTGTGTTCCTGAAATTTTCCAACAAGCACCCCCGTCGCTTTTGTAGGGGACTATCCCCCCCCCGGAATTTAAACCCACTAATCTCCGAAGGAAACTAAACATTTCTAAAACATCAACAACAAACCGCAATCAAAGAAATTATCAGAGTGAGTTTAATATCTTTTCATGGTTTTACTCATGCCCTTCGTGGCGGGTACATCTAAACGCGTCACTGCTTTTTTAATTCTATCAACATCACAACTCAGGAAAATATATGAGAACAAGGCTCAATGTATTCTTGTCCGATTCGTTATTTTCATAGTCCTTGATATATAAGAGTCTCATAAGAGAAGTGTGGAGTAAGCGGAGTTCACATTGCATTAATGTGGTTATTTCTCGGCGTGAAGAATTTGTTGAAAACTATTTAGTCTTTATTTTCCTTCTTTCTTGGAGGTACCTGTCAAGGAAAAATACTGACGTTATTATTAATCTTTCATTTATGGGGTCAGTATTTCATGTAAGACTCCATAACATGTCCCCAACATATATAGAAGTTTCCCTATGTTTCTATGCATTTCCCTTGTATTGCCTATGTTTCCCTTGTTTTTCTACGTTTTCTCCTGTATTCCCATGAAACTTCTATATATGTTGGGGACATGTTATGGAGTCTTACATGCGATACTAACCATTTATGGGTTTTGTCACGCATTCCTGCTAGTGACCAGGCTACCCTCGTGCCGGCATAATTTTCCCGAATTCGGCCAAGTGCTCTTGTAAATAACCCTGCTCGCAGGCTAGGTATACAGAAAAAATTAAACAAACGATCAACGCTCAACGCGAATATCGGTAAGTTCCAGTAAATCCTTAATTTAAGAAACGTGTTTTCTCATCTCTTAAAATGAGAATCTAAATTCTTGTTTTAAAATTTGATTTTAAGATTAGGATATGTTTAAAATAAGTGCTCTCAATTTAAGATAGTAAATACGTGAATCCAAAACACACCACTTAAAACAAATTCAGCTTTCTTAAAATAAGAAAAAAAGCTTCATTGAATTAAGCAGCTTCTCCTTAATTGAAAAATACAGGTTTTAGAGTGTACACTGAATCAACGTTAGGTAAGCTTCTTGACCTCAGTAAACGCAGCTGTTTTTGCTTACTATGAGTCTATAAATATTCATTCTAAGTCTTTATTTAGCAGCCTATATTATTTCTCTTTCTGCAATTAATTAATATGAATTATTGGACCCACTTGGTGTTGCTGCCATTGCAGTTTCATCACGTATTTATAGATTGACCTGTTCTCCTCCAAATAGGACACACCCCCATGATTTTTCTGGCCAGTTAGATCCCTAAGGGCAGACCAAGTCTTCTTAGAGTCATCACGGTTTTCTCTGAAAGATTCTTAGAAGGAATTCTTCTTGGCTCTTCTAACAGCCTCTGTGACTTTGTTTTTCTCGCAATAGACTCAAAGGTGTCGTTGAAAACAAAGACCCCTAAAAACCCCCTAACCCCCCCCCCCTGTAGCCGTTTTTCCTTACACCATTATGTCATATTACCATTTATGGAAAGCGTAGGTCACGTGTTGGCAGAGATTAAACAGGGTTCTAGTGGTTGTTGAGATCGAGTTGGCGCGTTATGTTTTCGCCTATTTTCTAACCGCTACAAATCTGGTGGAGAACCTAAAATCCCGAAATGACCACTGTAGAAGAATTACAAGGTATCGTGGCAGGCCTTACGGCAATTGTCAAGCAGCAGGCGGAAGCACAGAAGGCAACAAACACTCAAATCGCTAACCTCACTGAAGCATTGCTCGCACATGGCGGACCTCCCACAGCTCCGGCTACAGCCCAAGTAAATTCCACGCCTTTACGAATGCCTGCTCTTCAACTCCCGCAATTTCGTTATGACCAGAACACTCACGACGACGTTAACGAATTCCTCGAATCTTTCGATGTTCAAACGACCCATTTGCAAGCTGCAACTAAGCTCACATTGCTACAACAAGCATGCGTTGGCGAATGGCCAAATTCCGTGTTGTCAATGGAAAAGACTAAGTTTACAGATGAAACAACTCCTCTCCAAAAGCTGGACAGTTTTAAACAAGCTTTAAAATCAACATTTGCCGAACCACCAGAAGTACAACGCCGTCGTCTGGCGTCTGAGTTTTCCACGATGAAACAGCGAGTTACAGAATCGATCGATCGCTTCGCATTTCGCTTCAAAAACAACCTTCACCGCCTCGCTAAATTGGGCGAACCCGTGGACCGAAACTCGCCTCAGTTCATCATGTCGCAGTTTATCTCCAAAACGAAACCAGACATTCAAAAACATTTGGTGCTTAAAGCAGAAGAATACAAAGATCTTTCTGAGATCATCGAAGCCGCAAAACGAATCGAGCGTTCATTCAGCCCTTCGCACAGTCAACCCAATAAACAATCGCCGGAACAAACTAACGCTCTTACCACTAATCCAGCTCCTGGTTTTCCTCGTGGTCGCGGCAAAGGACCTCGCTGTTATAGTTGCAATTCCTATGGCCATACCAAAGGCAACTGCCCCGAAAAAACGCAGAAAAACCACAATGCTACGAACCCCCAAAGAAGTAACGAAGTTTGCCGTTTATGGAACAAACATCAACGACCTCCCTGCGTTTTACCAGACCAATCATGTAGATATGGCCGTCTTCACAACTGTAACACTTGTTCCAAGCCAGGTTGCAAGGATATTAATCATGCAAACACTCGTCCACCTGTTGCAAACTCCTGCGAAGTTCAACCACCACAGGCAACCCAAGTGGGACCACGCACTTCTCAACCACCTTCCTCTGGTGTTCAGTCTCAGTCTTCCAACCCTCCGCTATTTCTGATGCCGACCTTACCACATTCTTCAAGTGAACTGTCTGTTAACCTGAATCGTTCTATTTTGTCATGCCAAGTCACCTCAGCTGGTAAAGTCCTTCAGCTCCCACTTGATTCCTGTTGTTCTGTTACACTGTGTAGCCTGGATCATGCACAGCACATCCACTCCGCAAGACCTGAATTGAAGTACAAGAAACTTGAAAAGCCCATTCCAGTACAAATGGCTGACACTAGTGCCTCTCTGAACGCTGTTGGTGTCCAAGAAGTCCCAATTGCCTGGCTTCCAAACAAGGAAACTGTTCATGTCGCTCTTGTTGTGCCCAATATGTCTTGGCCACTCTTGTTTGGTGAAAATCACTTAGCAGCTACTCACGCCTTGTCTGACCACAGAGAAAAAACTGTGACATTCCGTCACCCTGCTATGAATTTTACTATTTCATGTGATAAAGCACCCATCTCACAGGAACCCCATGCTGCAGTTACCTGCCTTCTTACTGGAAAACCAAGTAGCCACTCTGCACCCACCAAGACCACCGTTTACCGCGGTCTAAACCTACTCACAGTTTATCTCACCTTCAGTGCAGCATCCATCGGGTTGCTTGGAAACGACTTATGGCTAACTGGTCATGAACTCGAACCTGGTGTCAGAGTCCTCGATGGCATCTTCAGTGCATCCGCAGTACAAACTGTCATGGACTTCCCTTCTAACACAGGCACCTGCAAGGGTGATCTTCCTGATTTTCAGCAACTCAGAGCTATGAATGTTCTTGTGCAGTGTACAAAGAGGAGCGCCCATGTTGATCATTCCACCTTTGGTTATCTGTCCCCTTGTACTGCTCAAAGCAAAGCTGATTTCCAGGATGCACTACACCACACAGCTGACATCCTCTCTTCATCACTTGATGCCTATGACTCGCTCTTCTCTCAGTCTTCTGTCGATGCATCTCCTCTCTTGAAGACCCCTTCACCTACCCGGTTTAGTAAAAGAGACCCAGTACAACCACACTGCCCTCAGCAGGCCAATCAGGAAATGATTACAGCCGGTCTTGTTCAAAGCTCCCGTTTACTCCATCCTTTCAATCAGCCTGATGACACGGATGATCGAGACCTTCCTCCTCCTTCTGTTGTTGAACTTGATCCATTTTCAGAAGAATATCATCAGAAACTGCGAAAAGAGCTGCGCCTAGATACTGATGAATACAGTCACGTGCACCCTGCAGTCCTCAATCAGTTTGACACTTTACTTCGGAAGTACCCTCATGCATTTCTTTTACCTGGTGCACCGCTTAGGCGTATCCATGGAACTGAGCACCACATTAACACTGAGAATGCACCGCCTTGCTACAAGCCACCATACAGGATGTCACCATCAGAACTTCAAGCCGTGCGTGATCAAATCACTGCCATGCTAAAACAGGACATTATTCGACCTTCCAATTCTCCTTGGGGTGCTCCAGCAATTCTTGTGCGTCGTAAAGACTTACACGGCAAACCCCAGCCTCCTCGCTTTGTGGTCGATTATCGCGCACTTAACTCAGTCACCAAGAGCGATGGATTTCCACTTCCTCAAGTCATAGACATCCTCGACTGGCTCGGTGGTGGGAAATCATTTGCAAAGTTAGACCTCGCTAATGGTTATTGGCAAGTTCCCGTCAGAGAGGAAGACCGTGAAAAAACAGCAGTAGTCACCCACTGTGGATTGTTTGAGTTTATCTCCATGCCTTTCGGCCTTAAAACAGCTGGCGCCACCTTCCAAAGGCTTATGCAGGCCACATTTTCAGACTTCCTCATGGGAAATGTAACAGGCAGTAGTGACAATCAAACTGGTTTCTGTATGCCCTATGTTGATGATTTGATCGTACGTAGTATGTCCGACTATGGTGCCTTAGAACATTACGAACAGATATTTAAACGTGCTGCCCAAGTTGGAATGCAGTTTAAACCGTCCAAATGCACATTCTTTTCAACTCACCTCGAAGTACTTGGCCACATCGTTACCCCCAATGGTCGCATCCCTGACCCCAAGAAGGTCCAAGCTATCTCTGATTTCCCTATGGTAAACTCCCAAACTGCTGTTCAGAAGTTTCTAGGAATGGTTGGTTTTTACAGGCACCACATCCCAAGCTTTGCACAAAGAACTTACCACCTACGTGAACTTTTACAAAAGGACCGAAAGTTCCAGTTAACTGCTCAGGTCGAAGCAGAATTCAATGACCTCATTGCAGCCCTCACAGGCCCTGACGTTTTGTTGCGATATCCAGATTGGTCCAAACCTTTTCACGTACACACAGATGCGAGCCAGCTTGGTGTTGGCGCTGTACTTATGCAAGAAGATGACCAGCATCACTTGCGGCCCCTTCAGTATGCAAGCCAAGCGTTTTCACCCACCCAGAAAAGATGGGACACACGCGAACAGGAACTCTATGCCGTCAAATGGGCAGTTGAACAATGGCGCCCCTATCTTTTGGGTCGAAAATTCATTGTCGAAACCGATCATGCTAATTTGAAATGGTTGTGTTCTATTGCTCCACATAAAGCCAAACTAGCACGTTGGGCCTCCTCCCTTGCTGAGTACGATTTTGAACTACGTCACCGCCCTGGTCGCAGTAATACCGTTCCTGATGCCCTTTCGCGTTACCCTGTAACCCAGTTTATCACGTCTGAGAACAGTGTTTCATCTGCCACTTTTGTTGACATATTGCCGCCGGCAGACGTGTCAGCTTATTTGGTCACCACATTGGGACTAACTCCATACTACTTTGCCCCTCTTACGGCTACCATCTCATCTTTTACGACAGCCTTTGCCCTGACAACGGCAGATACAAGCACTTCTCCCCCTACCAAAGCAGAGCATCTCTCAACTACCAGCCAGACAGAAGAACCCCTTACTCTCCTAGGATCCAACAGACAAGACTTTATCACTCTTCAACTCCAAGACCCAACGTTAAAGCTCGTCCACAAGTATCTATCAGCCGGAAGTAAGAAGTCTGCCCTTCATGACTTATCGTCCCGCGAACAAACTCGCATTCAAAACCTGGCACGACGATGTCTTATTTTGGAAGGACTTGTTATGTATTCAGACGAATTTCTTGACGACCCAGGTCACCTTCGTATCTTCGTTCCTGACAACAAAGACTTGAAGTCCCGGTTACTGCGTGCGTATCATGACTCGCCCCTCGGGATGCATAGGGGACGAGATAATACTTACCATGCCCTCGCTAGAGATTTCTATTGGAGAGGGATGGGGAAGGCAACGAAACGCTGGGTTGCAAGATGTCTAGAATGCCTCAAGCATAAGTCCACCGATCAGCAACATGGTCTCATGCATTCTCGGTTCTATGACAAACCAATGAATGTACTTGGAATTGACTTTGTTGGACCATTCCCGAAATCTTCCTACGGGAACCGCTATATACTTACCGCCGTCTGCCCATTCTCTCACTTCCTGGTAGCAATACCAACAGCAGATCGGAGTGCTACCACAGCTGCAAGGGCACTGTTTGATAATGTGTTCCTTAAGCTAGATTTTCCATCCACTCTTCTCAGTGACCGAGGAGGAGAGTTCTTAAACGCTGTACTACGTGAAGTCTCCAGACTCTTGTCCATTAAACAAGTGTTTACATCCAGCTATCGCCCTCGAGCTAATGGCGCTACAGAACGTGTTCACCGCTTCATGAATTCGGCTCTTGCTATTTTTGCGTCCAAATGGCAAAAACAATGGGAAGACTATTTGCAGCCAGCAGTGTACTCGCACAACACCTCGGCTATCGACGGCATTGATGGTATCACACCATTCTTCCTCATGTTTGGCCGTAATGCAACATCACCCGAGACAGTTGCTCTTCAGCTCCCAAGCGAGCCAATCAGCAAGAACGAATATGCAAAACATTTAGTTCAAAGCATTTCAGAGGCACACAAACTATTCTCCAGCATCAAAAAGGACCTAAGGAGAAGGCAACGAGATTATTACGATTTGTCTGCTAACGTTAGAGAATTTTCTGTCGGACAGCACGTCCTAGTCAGGAAACCGCCTCCTTCAAACGTAGAAAAAGGATCAGCTACTAAACTCATCCGAAGATACGCCGGACCTTATATCGTCAGCGAGCGTTTGAAGAATAGTGATCTTTATCGTCTAAGGCACGCCATTACCAATGAAGAATTACCTCCTACTAACGTCGAGAAGCTGATACCAGTTCCAGAAGCCGAGCCTGGCGAACTAAGAGAGTCCTGCGCACAAGGAGCTTCTCTTCCTGTTCAATCAAAGGAGAGAGAGGAACAATACAAACCTGGCCAATTCATTATATATCTTCCCAAGAGGAACAATCAAGCAGACGAGGGGATCTCACTCAAACTGGCCCAGTATCTTGAACCCCTAGGAAAGGCTCCAGTTAGCGAAGCTTGCAAGCATCTGTACTCTGTCTACCCAGCAGCCAAGCAAATTCTTGCCAAACTTGGAAGGATGCGCGGTCTCACAGCACATTGCCCATACTTATCCCTCGAAGGAGATCCCTCTGGAGGAGCTTATTATCTAGTCTTAGATCAAGCTGCGTATCGACGGTCTCACACCGATCAAGGGATCCTGGTTGGAGAAATTGTGGAAGCCGGTGAAGTCCAAGACACTGTTGTAGTTCACACCTATGCTCCTACTGGGCGTCGCACAAGACTTGCGAAATCTCGCATTTGGAAACCTTTCTACAACCATGATTTATCAAGGAAATCTGTCCCTATGGACAAAGACAAGCGCTTGATGGACTATAGCCCAGACTTTGATCGCGTTGAGTTTAGGCGAATTATTACTGCGCGAGACACTCTGGAGCAATTGTTGTCTGTTAGAGACATGGACGAAGCAGTGACAAAGTTATTTGTTAGTGTTAGGTCGTTGCACGTTTAGAGACTAAACTACGCTCGAACTTAATCGTGGTTTTAGATGCTC